CGAAGTGGGCTACAAGGTCATCAAGAACGAGTCGAGCATTCCCACAAGAAAGCAGAAAGCAGCTTACACTTGTGGAAGCGGCAGTGCTGCCCTAAAACAGCAAAAATGGTCTCTCTGGTTCATGATAGTGCTTGCAAAGACTGAGAAAGCATTGTGTTAGATGTAAGCATTAACAACTGTTTACATCGCGTTTACACTGTATTAGGTATTACAGGTAATCTAGAGATGATTTAAAGTACACAGGAGGATGTGCATACTACGTCATTTTATATAAAGGACTTCAGCAACCGCAGATTTTGCTATCTGCGGAGGTGGGTGGGGGTGTTCCTGGAACCAAAATGCCAAGGATACCAAGGAACAACTACGATTAAAAACCTTTCTTTCTATTCTTTGCTCTTTACAAATTCTTCAATGATTTCATCATAATTAAGCTGCCGAACAATATCTACTTCCATACATAATAAGGATAATGAATCGGGTCTTTCTTGAATCACTGTTGCATGCTGAGGGTTTCTGAGTCTCTTTAGGGACGAAAATGAGCGTTCTGTTGTACAGTTTGTGATCATTAAAGTTAGGAATATTCGTAAAGCAATTTCAACATTGGGAAATACGCATTGTATTTTATCTTCTATTATGGACTCATACATGCCTACATACGTAAAATTTGTCTTTCCTGAATCTGTGAACTTAGTTCTCATGTAAGAATGAAATTGTCGCACTTCTCCATAAAGGTTTGTATTTAAGTCATCGGGATACGCCTGCACTAACTTCCTGGACGCCTTCATGCACTCTTCATCGGGTATATCCACACTGTTTAAGAAGGAAAATCGATCTGAGAGAACTTCGTATACTCCTGCCCTTCTTTTCATGCAAGACTCAAGTGTGTCAATGATGGTGTGGTATGTAGTTACCCGAAATTGATCTCTGGCACTCAGTGATTCTTCTGGAGCACTTCCATCATCTACTTGTTTCTTTCTAATGCTTCTGCGACTGTGAACTGCCTGATAATCCGTATTTGGCAGTATTTGTTTTGTTGTGTTTTCAAATTTTTCAAAATATTCTCGTAAATTATGTAAATACCCTGTTAATGACTGGTAGAGATCTGTGCATGTCTTTAAATTTGCTTCTGAATCTTGGAGAGCTTGACTCGTCCAATGAAAATGCTGCAATATATCATTCCACATAACCAACATAAATACATACTCTAGTGTTTGCATTTTGTTGGCAATGTTTTCTGCCTCTCTTTTGGTATCTCCCTTCTGTGTCTGGTCTTCAGCAATATTCTCTAAGGCATCCAGAATCTGTGTGTATGATTCCAGGATTGCACTCGTTGCTACAGCATGCGCTTCCCAATGTGTATTAGACAGACATTTTAATACTCGATCACTGCCTAAATATGTTTTAAGAACTGCCCATCTGTGAGTAGAGGTGGCAAAAAATGTGTAGAGTAACTGAACAGTAGAAAAAAAATCAACTGCTTCTGGACAGCAATCTACCGCACTACGTCCTATAAGATTAAGCGAATGTGAAGCACATGGTATGAAAATGGCATATTCATTACGTTCTGAAATTTTCTGTTGCATGCCTTTGTAACGCCCTGCCATATTGGCAGCACTGTCATAGGACTGGCCTCTGCACTTAGAAAAATCAATTTTGCAAACTTCACATAAATAGTGAAGTACTTGATCTGCAATTTCTTCACCGGTATGACTTCTTAAGCTAGTAAATGTGATAAATCGTTCGACAGGTTTTCCATCTGTTGGAGATACGTATCTTAAAACAATACTTAGTTGATCAGTATGAGAAACATCAGGAGTGGAATCTACAGACAAACTGAAATATCGAGCTATACTTATTTCACTGAAGATAGCTGATCGAACTTTATCACTTATTAGATTTATTAACTCTTCACACATTGTTTTAGATATATACGACGGGTTGCCCTTTTCTGTGTTACCATATTTGGAGATGTGACCTGCTAAAAATGGATCAAACTGAGCAACAAGTTCAAGTAAACCCAAAAAATTTCCATTTTGTGGGGACCCAAAGACTTCATTTCTTCCTCGAAAAGATAGTCCCCGTTCAGCGATTGTGGTGATGACAGCAACAACACGTTGCAAGATGGCTTTCCAGTACTGACGTTCTTCATTAACTTGTGATTCCAGTTCATGAGTTAAGCCAAAACCATGTCTTCGGTTTAAATATGACAACATACAATCTCTGTGAACTGAACTGTTCTCATGTTTATGGATCATATTTGAGTTGCTCCAATCGCTAAATCCATCCGTAGCAAATCGAGAATTAAACGATTTAGGACTGAATAATTTGCAAACAAAACAATATACAGAGCCAACTGATGGAGAATACAGCAGCCACTCCCTCTTATAATTTTCACCATTAGCTTTGCACCCTAGGAATATATTCTGGCTACAGAACCTTGTTTGTTTACCACCCAGGAATTTTCGACACGAATTTTCAAATGGTCCACTGTGATGCTGACAATCACTTGGCCCTCTCTCGATCCAATAATTTATATCATTAGAAGAAAAATTATTCCACAAAGCAGGATCTGTATTTCTATTATTTAAGGGGTCTGCAGATGTGATCATTTCAGATTCTAAAATAGTTTCACTTTCTACACCACTGTTTATTTTTTTACTACAGCAAGGAATGGATGCGGCATTTGGAACAAAGTCTGTTACGATCGTACTGCTATTAGTAATTTCAGCACTAGTATTACTACAAAGATTTGCACCCATTAAACTCCAGTGTTCAATGGAGGAAGTCTCTTCTGATTCATTAAATTTTAAAGAGGAAGTTAATTTCGGAATTGTCTTTAGGGACTCACAGATCCTTTTCTTTTTATCTTCTGTGAGCTTTCGTTTTTGTGCTCCACTTAGTTGTTGCCGTTCCATTTTACCTGGATATAGAATTATGTCACTTTTTAAATTTGGTTCTACCGTAGCAAATAAATCTGAATAACTGAAAATACAGAAAATTTACAAAACAAGTAAAATTTATAAAATAAAACTTACATTTGAATTTAGACATTAACACACAAGTTTGAATTTGAAAATTAGTAAGTAAAAAAAAACTGATTTGGAACACATAATTTTTGTTCTTCAGGTCTGAGACAGTCAAAAGAAATAGTACTTACAAGGCAGTCAGAAATAATTTCACTCGTTTGTCATACGATGTTTGTCGGCGGGCTCTTTGCAGATCTCCACAAGTGTTTCTCGTCTTGAACTTAAAAAATTACACACTCACTTTCTGTCCTTTGATGCTGCGTCTTCACAGTTCACTGGACTACTGCTGATATCCAATGTGGGTGAGAGTGATTGCAAAGAGCATGATACAAATACAAGGGTATGTTCAATCTGAAGATGCATTTTGGTTCGCTTTGCACAGGACAGGACCAAATACATCACGACTCACATGATTATAGCGCCACCGGCACGTTCTTAGCGGGTTAACGAGAGGAAACTGAACCTGAGGGTTATACCCGACCGGTTCGAAATAAAAAGGAAATTATTATTGTTATCGTAGACAAAATTTATAAAATGGTATCAATATCATTTAGTGAAAATGTCACTTCGAGGACTAAGGTGTGCCTGACCCAAGCCATGGTATTTTCAATCGCCTCATACGTATACAGAAGCTGGACAATGAATAAGGAAGACCAAAGAATTGATGCCTTTGAATTATGGTGCTGGCGAAGACTACTGAATATACCATGGACGAACAAATCTACCTTGGAAGAAATACAGCCAGAACACTCCTTAGAAGCAAGGATGGTGAGACTCTGTCTCACACACTTTGCACATGTTATCAGGAGGGACGAGTCCCCGGAGAAGGATCATGCCTGGTAGAGGGTCAGCAAGAAAGAGGAAAACCCTCAACGAGATGCAATGACACAGTGGCTCCAACAATGGGCTGAAGCGCAACGACTGTGAGGATGACACAGGACCGGGCAGTGTTTCGTTCTGTGGTACATAGTGTCGTTATGAGTCAGAAGCAACTCCACAGCACCTAACAACACAAAATGTACAAAACAGTATCAATTTCATTTAGTGTCCTGCCAGTTCCCTTCCATTGCGGCACTCACTTTTCCTTGTGTCCTGTCTGCTTGGCATCTACGGGTCTTTGCTTTGGACAAGTTCATGCACTAGGCACGTGCTTACCTTGCTTATCGGGTAACCTGTCCCTTCCCATGCCCTGAGGAAGACACCTCTGATCTGTTCTGTCCCCACACCTCACGTCTGCTTCCCCATCCAACTTCCCTGAAGCCTCCAGTTTTGCCTGTGCTTTAGAGTCACAATGCCTATCTCCTGCTCACTCTGTAATTTGGGAAGTGACTTCACCAGAACCTTCTATGCAACAGGGGAATGGCTGGGTGTCTGCCTCTCATCAGGACCCTGGGAGGATCCATCTAATACTTCAACACGGCAAGAGTTCCATGAGTATGCACTACTGTTTAACAACTGCCACGCCTAAGTTCTGTAGACATACGCGATGTCCAAGGAGCCCTGGTGGCAATCGTTAAGCACTCACCTGCAAACTGAAAGCCTGGCAGTTCAAACCTGCCTAGCAGCTCCATGGGAGAAAAGGCCCAGTGATATGCTCCCATAAAGATCAGAGCCTAGGAAGCCACGTGGGGCAGTTTTACTCTGTCCCATCGGGTCACTACGGGTCAGAATCGACTCAATGGCACCAAACAACAAAAACACACTGCCCCCGAAGGCAGCCACTATTTACATAAAAAACGTTAGCTCCCAGTCGCATGCGCCACCCGTGGCCAGGGGCTACCGGATTAGACACTGCAAAAGAGAGCACATTTGCAGAAAGTTTCCACTGGACGATGTTCGTTTAGAATCCGTTAACGTGACCAATAACAAATGCCATCCAGCTAATTCCAAATCATGGTGACCCCATGTGTGTCAAGAGTAGAACCGCGGACCACAGTTTTCAGTGGCTGACTTTGCAGAAGTAGACTGCGAGGCCTTTCACCCAAGGCCTCTGGGTGGACCTGAACGGCAAACCTTTCAGTTAACAGCCAGAGCTGTTAGCACCACCCAGGTACTTCTAGAA